ATTGTGACTGTGTTATGTCAGATTAACATTTCATGACTGATAATACTGGTTAAACAAATGTGTTTTGAGTTTATACTTAAATACATGCAATGTGGTTGTTGTCCTGAGAGCCAACGGAAGAGAGTTCCAAAGCTTGGGGGCTATAACAGAGAAATACCTGCCACCCATAGATGATAGACGGGATCTCCGCTCACATAGGAGTTCACAGCCAGAGGATCGCAGAGTTCGAGGGGGAATAAGAGGAGAAAGTAAGTCAGAGAGATAGGCTGGAGCAAGACCATTGAGTGACTTAAAGGTGAGCAAAAGAATTTTGTAAGTGATACGTGATGACACGGGTAGCCAGTGCAGTTTAAACAGAATTGGTGTGATATGGGCAGTTTTTTTGGTGTAAGTTAATAGTCTTGCGGCAGAGTTTTGAATATATTGCAAGCGTGAGATAGAGTGTGCTGGTAGACCAGAAAAAATAACATTACAATAGTCGAGGCGAGAAGTGATGAACGCGTGTACTAGTGCTTCAGCGTCTTTTGGGCTGACATAGGCACTGAGTTTGGCAATACGACGTAGATGAAAAAAGGATGCTTTACAAAGTTGATTAATGTAAGTGTCGAACGTCAGTGCAGGGTCAAAAATGATACCCAAGTTTTTGACAGTGGCAGATGGAATTATTGATGTAGCTTCAAGGTCAAGTCTGGGAATATTACTTAATTTTTTTGTTAGAGATGCAGGGCCAGTGATTAATATTTCTGTTTTAGTCAAGTTCAGACTGAGAAAATTGGAGTTGAGCCAGGTCTTTAATTCGTTAATGCATGATGATAGTGATGTGGTCTGGAGAATAGGATCCGGTCGACATGAAGTATATATTTTGGATATCGTCGGCGTAGCAGGGGTATTGAAAACCGTGGCGACATAATTTGTCCGAGAGGCAAAATGTAAATAATAAATAGTAACGGGCCGAGAACTGATCCCTGTGGAACACCTTGTTTGAGAGTGACAGTTGGAGATTTGTAATTGTGCATAGCGATGTAGTATTTCCTATCTGTCAGATAGGAGGAAAACCAGGATAACGCGGCTCCTGAGATACCAATCTCTGAGAGGCGCATGAGTAGGATTTTATGGCAGACAGTATCAAAAGCTGAGCTGAGGTCGAGTAGTAAAAGTAAGGAAAGGTTTCCAGAGTCACCAATGAGTAAGAGGTCATTGATAACCCTTGCTAATGCAGTTTCAGTACTGTGGTTTTGGCGAAAACCAGACTGAAATAAATCGAAGCTATTGTTGAGAGACAGATATGACTGCAATTGAATGGCGACAACCTTTTCCATGATTTTTGAGACATACGGTAGATTGGAGATTGGGCGATAGTTAGCGTAGTCAGTTGGGTCCAGATTCGTTTTTTTAAGAATAGGAGTGACCGCAGTGAGACTGGAACAGAGGCAGAGAGAAGAGACATGTTTACAAGATGTGAGATAGGTGCAGAAATGACAGAGGTACAGAGTTTCAGAAGGGTTGTGGGTGCAGGATCAAGCCGGGAAGAAGAATTGGATTTCTGTATCATTTCACTAATCAAGATGGGGTTGGTCAACATAAAGTTATTTAGTGTTTGTATCTGAGCTTGCTCACAACTAGAGGTGGTCGGTTCAACACTGAAAGTCCCACGTAAAGCCTCCAGCTTTCCCTGAAAGTGTTGTAGAAAAGAACAGCACAGGTCGTCGGATTCTTGTAGACAGGCATTGTGCGCAGGTGTTTGAACAAGCTTGTTTACAATGCTAAATAGTGTTTTAGGACTGTTGTTTGCGTTATTGATGATTTTAGCGATATAGGAAGAGTGAGCTGAGTTTAAGGCGGTTTTGTAAAGCTTAATATGGTCCGAAAATGCTTGATAGTGTACAATTAGATTGGTTTTCCGAAAGAGATGTTCCAGCTGTCTGCCTCTAGCTTTCATAGCACGTAGCTCAGCATTATACCACGGCGAAGAGTGGGACAAGGGAACAGACCTAGTCCTAGTTGGAGCATGCTCCTCTAGAACGTCAGCAATGGCAGAATGGTACAAATCAGATATTTTGGACGGGCAGGTAAAATCAAAAACATCAGAGATAGCAGAAGAAGTGATAGATGCAGCAAACATACTAGGATTAATAGCATTGATCTTACGATAAGAGATGTTAATATTGTCAGCACATTTAGTTAGACAAGTTAATGTAAGATCAAGGGTAATAAGCTTGTGATCTGAGATAGGAGTAACCAGACCGTTGATGGAGATGTCATTCAAGCCAGATGTGCAAACTAAGTCAAGTGTGTGGCCATGAGTATGAGTTGGGAAGTTAACAATCTGATTAAGATCGAAGCAGTCCAGGACAGTCATTAATTGAGTCCTATTTGAGCAGGGAGTATCAACGTGAATGTTAAAGTCACCGAGCAAGATGACCTTGGATAATGAATCGCAGGCTAGCATTAGTAGTTCACTTAGTTCAGAGAAAAAATCGTTTTGCTGTTTGGGTGGCCTATAAATCAGGATGATTGTTAGGGGACTGTTCGAGGACATTTTCAAAACCATGTATTCAAAAGTCGTAGTAGTGTGGAAGTCCAGTTGAGTAAGTGTTATGGAGTTGCGAGAGATGACCACAAGGCCACCCCCCTTAGTGAATAAACGCGGCTTAGACAGGTGCTGGTATCCGTATGGTGCTAGAAGATTAAGATGCATGAAATCATTCGGTGTTTGCCAGGTCTCAGTAAGGAATATCATATCCAGGTTTTTGTCAGTAATAAGTTCATTTAGATAGGGGCCTTTGTCCGAGATAGAGCGACAGTTCAGCAGAGCAAGGTGGGTTTGCAGCACATCTGAGTTATCAGCTAAATTGACATTGAAATCTGACACTTTTATACAGACAAGCGATCGCGGTGGACAACAGTCTCTTAGTAGGCGTTTCGGTTTGACCAGAGTTCTGTTATTTGACCAGATGCACGGGATCACAGTTGGTTTTGATTGCTGATAGTTGATGATCCTTCGGACTGAACGGTGCACGTAGCGCGGGCGCCGGGTGATCCCGAGCGAGCGGCAGTGCTCGTACGTTTCAAAGTCAAGGCGTGGGTGCCGATTAAGCGCCCTGAATTCGCGTGACAGGTATCCGAAATCCATGTTGGAAGATAACCCAGAAAAAATAAGGGAGACCAGAGGCAGCACGAGTGCTAAAGCCTTTGCTGTGTTTGTAATTGCCATGAGAAAGTCAGCTATCAGCAAAGCCACGTTAGCCAGGACCACAACCGTCACAACATCTATAAAAGCTTACGGAGAGGAAAGCTACCCAACCTGACGGCAAGCTAATCGAACTACTGGTAAGAAGAGTGTTAACTCACCTCACAGTCAGTCCAACAGATGGAGGAGAGAGGGTGAGAGGGCTCGTAGCAGGCTGACAGCAGAGAGTTCCCGACGGTAACAGCAACAAAAGTTAAGTCCAGTTTGTAGAAGGATGCAGAGAGGGAAACACCAACTGTAAAGAGTTCCCAACGGTAACAGCAACAAAAGTTAAGTCCAGTTTGTAGAAGGATGCAGAAAGGGAAACGGCAACTGTCCAAGAGCGGGCACAGCAAACATAACGTTAAACAATAGACGACGAAGCGTGGAGCGGCAGCCAGATGCGCACAGCGTTCCCACACAGCGTTCAAGCTAGTCATGTGACAAGCCGTTATAAGCGGTCAATGATAAATGCGCCTTGAGCAAGTTTCTGAATACTGATAAGGGTTTAGCAGATCTGATAGATGGAGGCGTACATTCCGTAATCTCCGTTCCCGACATTCTCATGTATGAGGTTCTGGGTTCAATCCCCAGCATCTCCAAGCAATGTTGGTCTTTTAAGTCAAAAGCATATCTCACATATGCATCGTGTATAAAGAAAATAATATTTAAACAAGAAAAAAACAATAGCTAAATCAGGGGATGTAGCTCAGTGGAAGACTGTATGCTTTGCATGTATGAGCTCCTGGGTTCAATCCCCAACATCTCCAAACAATGTTGGTCTTTTAAGTCAAAGGCAGACCAGAACACACTTATCACCATGAGGGGATGTGTCTTAGTGAGTGGTAGAGCGCATGCTTTGCATGTATGACATCCTGGGTTGCATCTCCAAGCAATGTTGGTCAAAGTCAAAGGTATATATCACATATACATCTTGCATGAAGAAAATACTGAAACAAAAGAAAAAAATCAGCTGATGTAGCTCAGTGGTAGAGCGCATGCTTTGCATGTATGAGGTCCTGGGTTCAATCCCCAGCATTGCCAAGCAATATGTAACTTTCCATTTCTTTCTTTGCTTGTTACCTCGGAACCGCATATGTATGCAGTCCAGTGTTAACCTTTATCACCTAAATTGTTTTTATTTAAAGGCACATGTAGGTAAATAGCAGAACACACTTATCACCATAAGTGGATGTAGCTTAGTTCATGTAAAAGTCACTCAATTACATCACCCACTGTGCTTCAAGGGATAAAGTTTTCCCTGCAGAGCTCTTTTAGAATGATTTTTTCACCAGATTAAGAACACCGTCCTTCGGATGAGACATTAAACAGAGGTCCTGACTCTGTGGTTAAAAATCCCAAGTCATTACTTGTAAAGATTAGGGGTGTAATCCCTGTGTCCCAGGCAAATTCCCTCCATTGGCCCTTGTCAATCATGGCCTCCTAATAATCCCCAGCCATTGAATTGGATCCATCGCTCTTCTCACCACCTATAGCTAGTGTGGCGAGTGCACTGGCACTGCACACTAGTGGTGGTTGAGGATATCTCCCCTGATATTATTGTGAAGTGCTTTGGGTGTATAGTAGTACAAATGAAAGGCCAATTAATTTCCTCAGTGTTAATGATTTTCACACAGAAGTCTCCTGTTAAACAAATTGTAGCCAACTAATGCTTCAAAAGCTTACATTGGCAGAATGAGGCACTTTTTCAAAGTCACAAGCAGTTGAATCAGACATGCAGCAAAAATGACAAGTCAGGTACAAACAAGGATTGATTTGTCAGTTTTATTGAGAACCTCTCTTTTGCCCTTGAACCATTACAGGACCAAGTGAGGCCTTGCCTTCCCATTGAATGCCTAGAGAGAAGAAAAGCAAAGTTAGAGCACTTGAATCAAAAGCAACCTTAGAAAGAGCAAAACGCTACCAACCTCCATAAGGAGAAGCAGCAAATTCACCATCAGGACCACATGTTGAGTCACAACAACCACAAACTTGGTCGTTTCCATCTGCAGCAAGCCACCTGCAACAAAACAAAGACATGGAGCCTTCAACATGAGAAAAGTCATCTTAAACACCCCCCAAAAAAGACAACTCTTACCCATTGGCAAAGGAACAGGATTTGCGCTGAGCGTCACTGGGTGCAGAAGCAATAGTTGCCTTCAGAATACATGTTATGTAGATCTGCAAGGGATTACAGACAAGTCACAAAACCAAAGCAGATGGGAGGAGACGTCAAATTAACTCATGATATTAATAGTACATACAGAAGGACTGTTGCCCTCCTGGAACATGAACGCCTCCAGCTGGAACTGGATCTTGTCAACCTGGGACCGAGGCATGAAGCGGGAACTGGAAGCTGTAGTTTTGGCATCCACAAAGCACCTGACAACAAAACAATCACAAAGAGCAAATCATGAATGTCAACTGTAGAGCATCAAGCAACTACACCTTACCCATGACTGTGACAAAAAGCAACTTAAACAGTCCTACCACGTCAAGGGCCATGACCTTACCCGTGATTCTCAATGAAGGAATATTTCGGAAGGGAGTTCACATCAGGTTCTTGAGTGGCCACACAGCGGTCCACAAACACACGCAGAGGCACATGATTGTACTGCTTCACAGATGCCTCGATGTTAATAACACCACCCAGGAAATAGGAGTATGAAGGCCTCTGATAGGACCAATCATCTACATAAAAAAAAATAATAAAAAATAAAAATAAAAAAAATTTAGGCACAGCCACAATAGCAAGAGTAAAGGTTAAATTTTATTGAAAGATCCTGTACCAACCCATCATGATCTTCAGGGAGAACAGCAAGACTTCTCCACCAGCCTCTGTTGAGGCATAAGGGACCCATGTTGGCCTCAAGGCATCACTGCTTACATTTTGGAGCCTGCGGTTCATGAAAGTACTCATTAATTTTCTCCCAGTTGCACGAGAAAGTGCAGAAAGTAACAGATCCCCTACCTTTGATAATGGCATTGAACACCAACAACTGCACCATCGGCCCGGGTAATCGGAGTGCCTGCAAGCACCTCAGGGGTGTAGGTAAGAGAGAAGGTGTAGACAAGCTCATCCTCATTCATCTGTAAAAAGATTGTGGTTACCAAGAGGGTCATCCCACAGACTTTACATACACCAAGACCGTGCACTCATATGTCTATGAATAAGAGGGTGCACTGTGCAATATGGTGGAATTTCTAAAGAGAAAAATCACCAATTAGTAAATTCACATCACCACAGCTGCCTTCAGAAGCTCCTGTGTTGCCAGATATAGTCAATGGTTTGGTGACATACACTTAGGATTGAACATGCATTCTTTGCTGTTCCTGGGTAAAAACTGCTTTAACACCATTAAGTGTACAAGATTTCTCGTTCGGTTTCTTAACCCATTAAGATCTCAGTTCTTACCATCAGCACGCTGTTGCAGTCCTGTAATTCATACTCAAAGATGAGCACTCCTGACCCAGGATCCTGACCAACAACAGGACATCCACCTAAAGACAGACCAGTTGGCTGGATCAACTGACCATTGCTAAAAAAGTCCTGCTGGACCTCAACGAGAACCCGGTTCTCGCCACATTGAACTGCTACGCTGCTGGGAGTCACAGGTTGCCTCAACTGAAAGTCCACCGCCAACTCGCTCTGCACCTCAGGAACGATGGGATACCTCCAATCCAAAGGCTTCACTGGACCCTGCAACAGCTGCTTCTCCTGAAGGTCAAAAGGCTCCTGTGCAAGGCTTTTGGAACCGGGACTCAAAGGACTCTGAAACTGAGAAGCCACTTGCAAAGGGTTCCAGAGCCCTAGAGGAGAAAGGGCAGGACTTCTGGAAGCTGGATCTGATTTTGGCCCCATGCTTCTTGGACTATGACTGTACCTCAAACTTCCCAAGACATCAGGCAGATCAAATACAACAATCGCAACCACCACTAAAACAACTTTCAGGAACCCCATCCTAACAAACTTTGACACAAACACCTCAACACACACCAGTGCTTGGCTTTGCCATTTTGTACAGCTTTGAGTTAAGGTGGCCCCACCCCTTTTACCTTAATTGATCATTCTTGATTCTCCTCTGGACCTGTAGAGTGTATGCATCTTGGGGAAGCACCACTCTGCACATTTTTTATGCGCCTGTCCAAATAGCCACACTTGCCGTATTTGTATTTGACCACTTGTCCACTTACATGACCTACAGTATTTCCGGTCTTTAAACCCCAGCATCTCCAAGCAATGTTGGACTTTTTTTATCTTGCATAAAGAAAATAATATTTAAACAAGAAAAAAAACAACAGCTAAATCAGGGGATGTAGCTCAGTGGTAGAGCGCATGCTTTGCATGTATGAGTTCCTGGGTTCAATCCCCAGCATCTCCAAGCAATGTGGAACTTTCCATTACTTTCTTTGCTTCTTTCATAAACCTAGGAAACCGCATATATATGCCTTCCAGTGTTGACCTTTATCCCCTATAAATTATTTAAAGGCAAATGTAAGTAACAGAACACACTTATCACCATGAGGGGATGTAGCTCAGTGGTAGAGCGCATGCTTTGCATGTATGAGGTCCTGGGTTCAATCCCCAGCATCTCCAAGCAATGTTGGTCTTTTAAGTCAAAAGCATATATCACATATACATCGTGCATAAAGAAAATAATATTTAAACAAGAAAAAAACAATAGCTAAATCAGGGGATGTAGCTCAGTGGAAGACTGTATGCTTTGCATATATGAACTCCTGGGTTTAATCCCCAACATCTCCAAACAATGTTGGTCTTTTAAGTCAAAAGCAGACCAGAACACACTTATCACCATGAGGGGATGTAGCTTAGTTCATGTAAAAGACACTCAATTACACCACCCACTGTGCTTCATGGGATAAGGTTTTCCCTGCAGAGCTCTTTTGGAATGATTTTTTCACCAGATTAAGAACACCGTCCTTCGGATGAGACATTAAACCGAGGTCCTGACTCTGTGGTTAAAAGTCCCAAGGCATTTCTCGTAAAGATTAGGGGTGTAACCCCGGTGTCCCAGACAAATTCCCTTCATTGGCCCTTGCCAATCATGGCCTCCTAATAATCCCCATCCACTGAATTGGATCCATCACTCTCTTCTCACCACCTATAGCTGGTGTGGTGAGTGCACTGGCACCATTGTACTGTGGCTGTGCCATCCAAGTGGATGCTGCACACGTGGTGGTTGAGGAGATCTCCCCTGTTATTATTTTGAAGTGCTTTGGGTGTATAGTAGTACAAATGAAAGGCCAATTAATTTCCTCAGTGTTAATGATTTTCACCCGGAAGTCTTCTGTTAAACAAATTGTAATGAACTAATGCTTCAAAAGCATAAACACGGGCTTTCACTAGCAGTCTTTTTTTTTTTTTTTTTTTTAAAGTTCATTTTAAATTCCCTATGGAGAAATTTAAGTTATTCACTTCTGGAACCCTTTGGTTGCATGCTAAATGGGATATCAGTTTCATCACATTGGCAGAATGAGGCACTTTTTCAAAGTCAAAAGCAGTTGTATCAGACATGCAGCAAAATGACAAGTCAGGTACAACCAAGGATTGATTTGTCAGTTTTATTGAGAACCTCTCTTTTGGCCTTGAACCATTACAGGACCAAGTGAGGCCTTGCCTTCCCATTGAATGCCTAGAGAGAAGAAAAGCAAAGTTAGAGCACTTGAATCAAAAGCAACCTTAGAAAGAGCAAAACGCTACCAACCTCCATAAGGAGAAGCAGCAAATTCACCATCAGGACCACATGTTGAGTCACAGCAACCACAAACTTGGTCGTTTCCATCAGCAGCAAACCACCTGCAACAAAATAAAGCCATGGAGCCTTCAACATGAGAAGTCATCTTAAACACCACCCAAAAAAAAGATAACTCTTACCCATTGGCAAAGGAACAGGATTTGCGCTGAGCATCACTGGGTGCAGAAGCAATAGTTGCCTTTAGAATACATGTTATGTAGATCTGCAAGGGATGACAGACAAGTCACAAAACCAAAGCAGATGGAGGAGAAGTCAAATGAACTCATGATATTCGTAGTACATACAGAAGGACTGTTGCCCTCCTGGAACATGAACGCCTCCAGCTGGAACTGGATCTTGTCAACCTGGGACCGAGGCATGAAGCGGGAGCTGGAAGCTGTAGTTTTGGCATCCACAAAGCACCTGACAACAAAACAATCACAAAGAGCAAATCATGAATGTCAACTGTAGCGCATCAAGCAACTAGACTGTGAAGGAACCCATGACTGTGACGGTTACAAAAAGCAACTTAAACAGTCCTACCACGTCAAGGGCCATGACCTTACCCGTGATTCTCAATGAAGGAATATTTCGGAAGGGAGTTCACATCAGGTGCTTGAGTGGCCACACAGCGGTCCACAAACACACGTAGAGGCACATGATTGTACTGCTTCACAGATGCCTCTGTTAATAACACCACCCAGGAAATAGGAGTATGAAGGCCTCTGATAGGACCAATCATCTACACAAAAAAAAATCATTTTAGGCACAGCCACAATAGCAAGAGTAAAGGTTAAATTTTATTGAAAGAACCTGTACCAACCCATCATGATCTTCAGGGAGAACAGCAAGACTTCTCCACCAGCCTCTGTTGAGGCATAAGGGACCCATGTTGGCCTCAAGGCATCACTGCTTACATTTTGGAGCCTGCGGTTCATGAAAGTACTCATTAAAAATTGTCTCCCAGTTGCACGAGAAAGTGCAGAAAGTAACAGATCCCCTACCTTTGATAATGGCATTGAACACCAACAATTGCACCATCGGCCCGGGTAATCGGAGTACCTGCAAGCACCTCAGGGGTGTAGGTAAGAGAGAAGGTGTAGACAAGCTCATCCTCATTCATCTGTAAAAAGATTGTGGTTACCAAGAGGGTCATCCCACAGACTATACATACACCAAGACCGAGCACTCATATTGCTATGAATAAGAGGGTGCACTGTGCAATATGGTGGAATTTAAGAAAAAAAAAACAAAAAAAACACCAATTAGTAAATTCACATCACCACAGCTGCCTTCAGAAGCTCCTGTGTTGCCAGAGATAGTCAATGGTTTGGAGACATGCACTTAGGATTGAACATGCATTCTTTGCTAGTTCCTGGGTAAAAACTAGCTTTAACACCATTAAGTGTACAAGATTTATTGTTCTTGTTTCTTTAGCTCCTTTCATACCCTTTTATTGGAGAGTTAACATCAGATGTTGGTTTGAAGGGTTATTTAAAAGGCAAATAGCTAGAAAATTCAGGATTTACCCATTCAAATAGATAGAACTTGGTCTTAGCTGGCATTGTAAAACCAAGTGAACTGACTTTCTTTGAAAGGTCCTCTGCCACAACAAATAACCAGTTAAGATTTATTAATTCTTACCATCAGAACACTGTTGCAGTCCTGTAATTCATACTCAAAGATGAGCACTCTTGCCCCAGGATCCTGACCAACAACAGGACATCCACCTAAAGACAGACCAGTTGGCTGGATCAACTGACCATTGCTGAAAAAGTCCTGCTGGACCTCTACGAGAACTCGGTTCTCGCCACATTGAACCGCTACGCTACTGGGAGTCACGGGTTGCCTCAACTTGAAGTCCACCGCCAACTCGCTCTGCACCTCGGGAATGATGGGATACCTCCAATCCAAAGGCTTCACTGGACCCTGCAACAGCTGCTTCTCCTGAAGGCCAAAAGGCTCCTGTGCAAAGCTTTTGGAGTCAGAACCCAAAGGACTCTGAAACTGAGAATCCACTTGCAAAGGGTTCCAGAGCCCTAGAGGAGAAAGGGCAGGACTTCTAGAAGCTGAATCTGATTTTGGCCCCATGCTTCTTAGACTATGACTGTACCTCAAACTTCCTAAGACATCAGGCAGATCAAATGCAACAACCACCACTAAGACCACTTTCAGGAACCCCATCCTAACAAACTTTGACACAAACACCACAACACACACCAGCGCTTGGCTTTGCCATTTTGTACACCTTTGAGTTAATGTGGCCCCACCCCTTTTACCTTAATTGATCATTCTTGATTCTCCTCTGGACCTGTAGAGTGTATGCATCTTAGGGAAGCACCACTCTGCACATTTTTTATGCGCCTGTCCAAATAGCCACACTTGCCGTATTTGTACTTGACCACTTGTCCACTTACATGACCTACAGTATTTCCGGTCTTTGATCCCCAGCTTCTCCAAGCAATTTTGGACTTTTAAGTCAAAGGCATATCTCACATATACATCTTGCATAAAGAAAATAATATTTAAACAAGAAAAAAAACAGCAGCTAAATCAGGGGATGTAGCTCAGTGGTAGAGCTGTGTAGAGCATGCTGTGCTTTATGAGTTCCTGGGTTCAAGCCCCAGAATCTCCAAGCAATGTGGAACTTTCCATTACTTTCTTTGCTTGTTTCTTAAACCTCGGAACCGCATATGTATGCATTCCAGTGTTGACCTTTATCACCTATAAATTTTGATTTAAAGGCACATGTAGGTAAATAACAGAACACATTTATCACCATGAGTGGATGTAGCTGAGTGGTAGAGCGCATGCTTCACATGTATGAGGTCCTAGGTTCAATCCCCAGCCAAGCAATGTTTGTCTTTTAAGTCAAAGGCTTATATCCCATATGCATCGTGCATAAAGAAAATAATATTTAAACAAGAGAAAAACATCAGCTGAATCAGGGCCGGTGTGTTTTGCTGGATTTTCTTCACATAGTAGCACAATAGACTTAAATTACTCCATCATTTATGGTCATATAGAAAAAAGAAATATGAACAAAAGAATGTGAGATGTCTACTTTTGTATTGTGTCCTCTTAGAATCAAAACAAAACATTGTGCTTATGTAAAATAAAGAAAATAAACAGGGGTGTGCTTTCTGCCTCTCCGTCTCGGTGAACCTTTTTTTTCTTGAGCACGTCTATAAACTGAAACAAAAACCCAGCGAATACTTGTCACACATTTATGAGCAATATATCTTTATAAACATTTAAGTGTGTACTTTTAAATGATATGATTCCAAACGAAAACAAATATTCTCTGTTTAAGTAATTTGTATAAAACCAACAAGATGTCAAGCCCCTCCAGAAAAGGCCTGGGGTTCGAGACAGCACACTCAGCTGATGTCTTCCAAGCTGAAGGCAGTTTTGATGACTGTTATTCAGATGAGTAAGGCTTCGGCGAAGAGGTACTGACGCGATCGTTCAGCACCA